TTATAGGATGAAAAGCAATTATTAATCATCTATCACATCATATCTTTTGAATATTAATAATTTATCAATTACGTCATATATTAACTAGAATAAAGTGAAATTAGAGAGTTATATCAAAATTATATGCATTCTTTATAGAGTAAATTACTCAAATAGGAGTAAAAGAGAGTAGTTTTCCCTAAATAGGAGTAGTCCTATTTGCACTAACGTTTGGTGAAGAGAAGGACAAAATTGACCCAGACATCCATTTTATACTCTACTAACCATATATATCCCGCACCACATCCTAAATTTATGGGTATCACAAGCAGTATAAAAAGAAGTAATTTTAATTGTAATTGAAATCGTGGCATACATTATGATATAGAGTCGGACTTGTTTTCTAAATTGAGATTTCATTTTCTTGCTTTATTCGTCTTTTTTGTGAAAAACAGGGTTAGAGATTTTGAAATTAAATATTACGGAGTGCATTGGTTAATAATTGATCATTACGAAGTAAAATCTTAAAATTTTTTATATTATTATTTTATTTACAAATTGGTACATTAATAAAAAATAAAAATTATATATTAAAAAAGTACGTTAAAAGTTCTATAAAACAAGAATGTAAAAAAAGCATTTTAATTTATCGAATAAATTAAAATATGCAAATATATCAAAGATTTTTAGAGGTGAGAAATTTTTTAAACAAAATTGGAATGGAGAGTATTAAGTATAGTATAAACAATGTCCATTCAAATTGGACATTAGTTGAGACTTGAGAGTATATCAGTGGACATTAATTGCTACGATGTCCCACAAATATATATGGGCATTAAAGCAATATAGTCTCGGAAACATTAAGAGAAGAAAGTAGACATTATTAGAAATAATAGAGAACATTAGATATTAATATATGAAAATTCTACATCAAGAAAATAGAGTTTTAGTGTATTAAAAGTAGTGAATAATGTACATTCAAAATTAATATATAGACATTAAAGAAATATACTTTGGAGAACATTAAGGGAAGGGAGTTTGGAGGACATTATTAGAAGTAATAAATAACATTTGGACATTAATATATGACATTGGGCATTAAGGAGAGAGAGTTTTAGTGTTATTTAGGAAATGTTTCCTTCTTTTTTCTTTACTAGTGGACATTAAATATCATAGACATTATATTTTTCTAAGGACATTATTTTAGTGAAATTTGCACTAAATAGGACTAAAACATAATGACTTTCTTAATGTAGGACTTAAACTTTTTTATTCCATAAATAAGACTTAATAATGACCTAGTGGAAGGAATAATGTCCAATAATGTTGGACATTTAGTTGAATAATGACTACGTGATAATGACCAAAGGTCCTACATTGGGAAATAAAAACATATGGTCATATATTGGGAAAGTCATTATGTTTTAGTCCTATTTAAGTAAATTTCTCATTATTTTATCTATTATTTTTCATCATCAGACATTAAAATTCATATACATTATTTTTTTTCACGAATACAAAGACAATGAACATTCAAAGTTGGGCAATGTGGGAGCGACAAAGGTGTCCGGTAGGCATTGAGGCCAGGTTGTATCAACGGGAGGGGAGGGGGGTAGGGTAGTGGGAATTGATGTTGGTACAAGTAAGGTGGAGTTATAAAATATTGATCAAAATTATTTTCAATTCAATTTAAATGAATACTGTTGTTAAAATAAAAAGTAAATTTACACATTCAAAAACTATTTTAAAAGATCTACAAAACAAGAGATAATACGATTATTTTATTTTACCAAATAATTAATAAAAATATGTATCAAATAATCAATGTCTTTGGACAATATTTTAATTTTTTGTATGACGATACTAGGTCAGATAATGTCAAACATATTGTAGGAGGGAAAGTGAGCATGATGATGGGAAATGTAGAGAAGAGAGCAAAATTAATGAAGACGATGAGAGCACTGGAAATACCCATGAAGCCTTGGGGCTTCAAACCGGGGCTTCAAACCTTCTCTCTCTGCCACGTCAGCTTTAACTTAACTCACAGTTTCACTGGAAATGGATTTGAGGCCCCGGGGCTTCAAACTGGGGCTTCAAACCTTCATTTTATACATTTTAAATACACATCTTCTAAAATTAAATTCATTAAATTTAAATATTTAATTATTTAAAAGAATTGAAACAAGAATAGTTCATAAAAAAATTGTATTCATTATAAAAAATTACATTCATTAAATAAAAAAATTACATTCATTATAAAAAACTACATTCATTAAATAAAAAAATTATATTCATTAAATAAAAAATTACATTTATGAAAAAATAAAAAAAATAGTTGAATAATAATTTTTTAAAAAAAGATGATAGAGAAATTTGTATTTGTGTTGAATTTTTAAAAAAATTAATTTAATTTATAGAGAAGAAAAGAGGAAAAAAGAAGGAGAAAAAAGAAGAAAGAGGCGTTATCACGACTCAAATTGAAGGAGAGAAGTGTAGATAATGCAATTATTGCTTGATTTATAGGGTGATAAATGAGTAGTTATTTTTTAATTATGTAACTGAAATCATATGGATCACACAGAGTAATTGGAGGAACGGGTAGATGAAAAAATAAGAGGAATAAATGTACAAAAGGGTAAAGATGGAATACCGTATAGAAAAAAGTCCTATTAATAGAAAACAACTAAACTAGTCCTATTAAGGGAAAACTAACAACTTTAAGTCCTAGATACAACAAATTTTACTTCTTTATATTACGGTGGGCTTTGCATGCAGAACGAGGCTCAACGTGCTTTCCCCCGAATTCTCGGCCACGAAGCCTCCGGGTAAGATCACATTTATATATACTTCATATATCCCCAATAATAATATTCTCGTTCACTATTACATGGTCAAATTTTTTTCATTTTATTTGATAAAAGAATATAATTATGTCACATCTATTTTTATAAATCTTTTCATGTAGTTTTTAAATATGTGATTTTTGTTTTTAATTACATACAGTTACTCATATAAAATGACTTGAAATTTTTTTTTCAATCATAACCCGGGAATAGTATTGTTGGAGGGAGAGTATATATTCTCAAAAAATTTGGTGACATATGCTTTTAGAATGCTCCCGCCTCGATCTTCCCGTCCCAAAACATCATTCCATGTTCGAGAAACTAACATTTAAAGCAATTGTAATTTGAGTGTTCTTTTTAAGGAAAAATTGTAACTCTCATTTTGTTTGGAGACAAAAAATTAAAATTTTGATAAAGTGAGATTTAAAATGAGGACGAAAGATTTTTTTATATGTAGTTTGAGTTTAGTAATCTAAACAATTTTTTTAATAAAATATTAACGGTTAAGAGAGAAGAAAATTGCAGTATGCTCGACAAATACATAGGCTCGCTTACTGACAATACTCCGTATTTGCCACACAGACGAATTTTGGTACCAAATGTAATTTATTTCACGCACACCGTCTACCCTTAATATGTTAATAATGAGTAGATATAACTTGATAAATAAATTAATAATTAAAAAGAATCAATAAATGATTTTAATTTTAATAACAAAACTTTATTTGGGACTAATAAAAAATACTCTCTTCTTCCCTTTGAAAGTTTAGATATGTCATTTTTTGCTGTCCATTAGAAAGTTTAATTAATGCGGAGTACTTCAATTCTTTTCATCTTTCGTTTTTCATTTATTATTCCATTTAATTTTACTCTTTTATCAATCAAAGGTTGTTATATACGTCCCTTCCTTTACAAAAATCTTTTCTCTTTTATTTTTTTCGCTTTCATCAAAATACTTCCATTTTTTTTATTTAAAAGACTAATATATCCAAATAAAATCATTGCAATATACTCAATTCATTTTACATTGACAAAATAAGTCATTTAAGTGATTTGTCTCTCTTTTCTTTTCGATGCAAATGATTTAATTGGAAATTTATATTACAAAAGTAAATCCTGCAAAATTCAAAACATGAATTGTTTTAATAAACAGCGGAAGTAATATCTCCGATTCGTTTCACAAAATACTTCCACCTAACTTTTTGCGCATCCCTAAAAACGTTTTTATTCCACCTAAAGCGTCTAAAATATCCCAAGACAATTTATATCCGCAATAAGGGAGAAATGAGATGTATTCAAGAGGATTTTAGCTGGGTGGGAAGAAAAGTGTTTTGTAGGATGCACAAAAAGTTAACGCGGGACGGACTATTATGTGAAATGGAGGGAAAGAGTTGATGAATATTGTAATGCAGGGTGGTGGAGAGCGTGGGGGAAGGGGTGAGAGACATGAGGGCGGGGGACCACGTGGTGCCGATCTTCAACGGGGAGTGCGGGGCGTGCCGACAGTGCAAGTCGAGCAAGACCAACCTGTGCGAGGAGTTCCGGGTGAGCCCGTTGAGGGGCGTGATGGTCGGGGACGGCGAGTGCAGGTTCTCCACCAAAGAGGGGAAACCGATCTACCATTTCCTCAACACCTCCACCTTCTCCCAGTACACCGTGGTCCACTCCGCTTGCGTCGTCAAGATCGACCCCACCGCCCCCCTCAAACTCATGACTTTGCTCAGCTGTGGCGTCTCCACCGGTACGTACGTACGCCCGCTCATCTACCCTGCATACATACCCCCTACCTACCCCTCACTCATTTTGCATATGGACCATGCTACACTTACACTAAAAAATATACTCCATTTGTACACCACAGGTTTGCACAAACATTTCGATGATTTACACCGACACAAGTGTTGGTGCGTTAATAAAAATTCACACGGACACAAATGTTGGTGCGTTTAACAACAATTAGTTTTACACCAACACAAAGTATTGGTGCAAAACTGCGGGGTACAAACCTTGGGGTACACATAGCATAATCCTTTTGCATATACTCCCTCCGTCCCTGAGTGTTTGTCCACTTTCATTTTTGCACACCATCCAATGCACTTCTTTAATCCATTTTATCTTGTAATTTGTATATTAAAAAATTATAAAAATTATATATTAATAATTTATATGTTAAGACGAATCAAACAAGATCACACATGACTATTTTTAGGCTTACACATTGAGAGAATTTGATGAGTCAAAGTGCTTAGATGAACAGTTCCAAAAGTCAAAAGTGGACAAACACTCAGGGACGGACCAAGTATGTACTAGCTNCCTTTTGCATATACTCCCTCCGTCCCTGAGTGTTTGTCCACTTTCATTTTTGCACACCATCCAATGCACTTCTTTAATCCATTTTATCTTGTAATTTGTATATTAAAAAATTATAAAAATTATATATTAATAATTTATATGTTAAGACGAATCAAACAAGATCACACATGACTATTTTTAGGCTTACACATTGAGAGAATTTGATGAGTCAAAGTGCTTAGATGAACAGTTCCAAAAGTCAAAAGTGGACAAACACTCAGGGACGGACCAAGTATGTACTAGCTACATACCATCTAGCTACTTTTCAACATCTCTTTTATGCATGTGTCCCTATTTAGCTTTTCCCTTTGCTTTCACGTGTGGGGTGTTACATCTCATCAATCACATAAAATTAATTAATTAAGCCAATGATCAATAACTGATTAACAAAAAAGGATGAATTCTATCCCCGAGAGTTCCCTCTGACAGACGATTACTCAGATGAGGTAAATTTGAGCTTAATTGCAAATTGATGGCAGAGAGTAGAGTGGATCTGGTATTTGCAAGAGGTCATATGCTTAGCATAATTACTTAAACATTACAGATTATAAGAATCAAACTCGGATCTATCTATTTAGCACACTTTCTTTGCTAAGTGCAAAGAGAGGTAGATGGAAAAAGTAGTATGGGGTCAATTGTTTAGTATGGGGTCAATTGTTTATTTATTTTGAGTGTATAAAAGTGGTTGACGACTCAAGCGGAGTTAAATGCTCCCTAGTCTAAGATGGTTTTTTTTCATACCTTTACCATTGAGAAAGCATTCTTATCTCTATATACTAAATGACATGTGTATTTTTAGTGCCACATAAAACTTAAATAAGTATAGTTAATAAATTTTTGTTTGATTGGTAAAAATTACTTACTTCGTGTGTTTTTCAAAACAGTTCCTTTTTCATTTTTTTGTTTGTAACAAAATATTTTTTTAACAGAAAATGATTAATATATTCAAATAAAGTCATTGCAATATATTACATTCTCTTTGCATGGATACAACAAGTTATTTTAATGAATTGTCTCTTTTTTTCAACGTTAAGGATATAATTAGCAGGTCAAATTATGAAATTAAATCTGGCCGAAATCAAAATAGGAAATGTTTTACCAAACGGAGGGAGTACAAAGTATCCCAAAGCTTAAGCTAATAAGAATTTGTTAACATATTTAATAATTCCATCTTATTACTTTACTATTCTTTAATTTCTAGTTTATTTAACTATTCTCATTATTTTTCTTTTTATTTATAATTAGGTCTATTCTATCGGGTTTTAATCCTTAATTTTAAAAAAAATTTAGTATTTTTTTAGTTTATTTCAATCTCTTTTAGTTTCTTTCAGCGCATTATAGTTTTGTACAATTTTTTTAAATTTCTTTCATCAATGATTTTTTTTAAAAATCATTATTTAGTCATATTTTTTATATATACGATTATTAAAGTTACTTTTATTTTTATTATTATCATCATCAATATATGTGAATAAAACAATAATACAATTGAAGTAATTTCATAATTTAAAAAAACTTCAATCCCCGAAATAAATTATATATCAATTACCATTATATTGTCAATATAAAATATTAAACTAATTAATGTATTACTCTCCCTATCCATTTGATTCTATATAGCGAAAGTATCACGTAGTTTAAGCATATATAAGAAAGTAATTTAACTCCTCCCCCATCCCTGTCGGGTCAGGGGGTGGGGGCTCCTGGGGTGAGCGATTCCACCTTCTGGACCGAAGAAAGTAATTTACTTTTCATTTTATATTTGCCCCTAATAATACGGTAACCTACCCTACACTCTGCTCATTACTCCGTATTATTTATTTTGCAAAAAAAAAAAACATGCATGTGTGCCTATTTAGCTTTTGCCTTTGCTTTCACGTGGAGTGTTACATCTCAAGAACATAAAATTAATTGGCTAAGACAAAGAATGCTGATTAACGACTTTGGCGGATCCTAAAAATGGGGAGATGATGAGGACAAAAGTAGTATATATATGGGGTCAAATGTTTAATTATTTTGAGTGTCTATAAAAGTGACTGACGAGGTTTTTAGTCAAAAAAGAGGTTTCCATACCAAAAAAAGCCTAATTAACAAAGGGTTAGTTTGTTTGGGAGTATCGTTATAGATTAGCACTAATGTTTTGGATAAAATTTTAACGGTACATATTATTTTAAAAACGCTAATGCTAAATACTACCTATAGATAGTCTTTTCAAAACGCTAATGCTAATTGCTAACGCTATATATTCCCAAACAAGCCCAAATACTATGATAATTTTCACCAATGAAGCCCACATGCGTACACCAGAATTTGAAATTCACCTACGTATACGGAGTATTATAAGCCTCTTATTACCTTTTACGTCTGCGTGATTACGGTGACTCTCCAATATAGGAGGCCACATGCCCACATGTTCGAATCCTAGTAAGGACGGTCGCGCTATGTGTTTAATATGATGGAAATGTATGAACAAATATTATATCGTAATAGAGTTATATCTTACTTAATTCTTATATTTTAGGCTCTGTTCTTTTAAATTCTAGCTCTTAACTTCAAACATTATCCAACTCAAACTACTTTCTTTCAACTCTTTCTAGTTTTTCTAACCGAACTCGTTTCAACTTTTACGGTGTTTTCCAACTTTGTCCAGTTTCATCTAACAATGACTAAAAAAAGATCCTAGCTATGTATATTTTTTTATTGAAGAATGAAATGGTTCAATAATCAATAATGATTTGTGAGTACATGCGTATATATATTATTATTCTTAACTATTACTATACATGGTAGGAATATACAAAAGGTAGGAATAAGTAAAGAAAACTTTATACAAAAGAAAATAATATTAGGTAAATATATTTACTATAGTTAGCATGCTAAGTGCAGTCTTAGAGATGAAGAACGGATGCCAAGGCTTTCTCTGAAGTCAACGAATAAGAGAGACGGGAACCATTTGTGAAGATATCAGCAAATTGAGAAGACAAGGGAACATGTAATACTCGGACCTCTCCAAGGGCCACTTTTTCTCACACAAAGTCAATGTATACTTCAACATGTTTGGTGCGCTGATGTTGGATTAGATTTCTTGAAAGATATGATGCACAACACTAATATCGTCACATAAGGCAATAGTGGCTATGCTGAGAGTTTGATGAAGCTCGAGAAGGAGATTACGAATCCTAAGAAAATACGATAACAGGATGTAGGTTTTCTAGTGTTCGGGCATCCAGCCCAATCTGTATTTGAGTAGGCGTGTCCTGGATTTAGTTAGGGTAATCTCATATGTGGAAGTTCTATGAAGATACATTGAAGCTAAGTGCTCTCTTCAAAGCTACTGGACATCATAAGTAATGTTCAGACGTAAGAAGGTGAGGTACTGTAGGGATCCAACAACAGATCGGTTGAGAGTAGGGTCAGACATCGATGAGACAGAAGTGGCGGCTAACTTCCTTTTAGTGTCGAATGATGTAGAAATTGGCTTGTAATTTGTCATGCTAGCACACTCAAGGATCTCATGTATGAACTGGGTCTTATGAAGAAAGAGACCTTAAGTGGTGTGTTTATTATTCACCCTAAGAAAGAATTAGAGATTTCCCATGTTAGTTATAGCAAATTCTCCTTTAAGTTTCTGAATGGGAATGTGAAGAAGGTGGAGTGAGACGTCGTAAGTACTATATAGTCTACATACAGAAGTAAATATACCATGTTTGTGCCATGATAATAGACAAAGAAAGAGGTGTCAGACTTGCATCCATGACACCCCAGGGGTTGATTGAAGGTAGCAAAACAAAGATACCATGAGTGAGGTGCATGCTTCAATCTATACAGGGCTTTGTTTAATTTGCAGACATGATGTGGGCAAGTGGGATCCTGAAATCTGGAAGGTTGGCTGGCATAGACGGTCTCTCGGAGAGTGCTATGTAAAAAAAGCATTCTTGACATCCATTTGATGAATGGGCCAGCCATGGCTCAGAGCAAGACTAAGCATAATCCAAATAGCACTTGGTTTAACCACCAAGCTGAACGTTTATCATAGTCCAATCCAAAGCACAGATTGACTCTACAGACCACCCAACGGGCTTTGTACCTAGGCAGTTCACTTGTAGGACCATGTTTATGACAAAAACCATTTTTCAGAAATAAAATTTTGCCTAGTGTGAGCTTCTACTATTTCCCATGTTTTATTATTAATCAAAGCGATGTATTCTTCATAGATAACAACATGTCAGTTTGGATCTTTAAGTACACTACGGTATGCGGGTGGAAGAGAAGAGATGGTGGCTGTAGTATTTAGCTTTAGGATTTGTTTCAAATATGATATGTCAGCTTTGGAGTGGGTGACCAAAGGGTGCTTAGTTGGGTTGTGTAGGTGTGGATGTGGGGAAGAGTGAGGAGAGGAATCAATGGATGTGATAGGGGAGGGTGAGGGAGTGGATGAGGTCGAGGGAGTGGGTGAGGCCGAGGGGATGGGGGAGGCAGGGAAACTGAGGGGGTTAGGGGGTCGAATGTGGGAAGGCCAAGGGGGAGGCGGGGATAGGTCTAGTGATGGTATTGAGGTAGTGGTGGTGTGGGGGTATGCCATCCTCTGTGGAGTCGAAGAAAGAAAGTTCTTGTTGTGAGAGACTGTGAGGGTATGGGAATAGAGACTCATTAAATGTGACATAACGAGAAATAAGGATTTTATGAGTGGTAAGATTTAGGCATCGATACCCACGTTGGTTAGGAGGATAAATGAGAATGATGCACTGGGGTGAGCAAGGGGAAGGCTTTTGAGGAGCTGTAGTAGAGAGGTTTGGTAGCAGAGACAACCAAAAATATAAAGGTGGTGTATGTAAGAGGGGCAGGATAGAGGGCTTCATGCAATGGGAGATTTTATTTTATAAATTAAAGTGGTTGGGAGATGGTTAAAAATATGAGTTGTCATAATAGGGGCTTCGACCTAGAATCATTGAGCAAGGTTTGATTGAAAAAACAAAGTATGAACGGGGTTATTTATGGTATGAATGGTGCCCTCAGCTCAACCATTCTGTTGATTGGTGTGTGGGTAGGAGAAGCGGAAGAGTATACCCTTAGCAAAAAAAGAAGTCGGCAAGAGGGGTGTTTTTGTGTTCAGTACCCATCGAATTTATGTTGTAGAGGGAAACACCCATACGTAATGAGAATAACCATCCAATAACATCATATAAAATTAAAATCCAGTGACACTAGGAACATGAGATTCCCACAAGTGATGGATACCCCAGAGTGGGGATATCCGGCCCAACAAGGCCCAACAGATCAAATGATTCTGGTGCACTTGGCTCAGTGGAACCTAGGTTAAAACCAAGGTCTCAAGGAGGCAACCGCACCCAGATACACATCTGCGCTCGGCCCGAAGAAAACCTACTCGGCCTTCGAACTGTCCCGGTCGGTTCTCCATGGACGATCTCCAAGACCTACGGCCTCGGGCTCCAGCTACGCATCTGGGCCCAGTGGACATGGGGACGTGCATGCCTTGTCCAATCAGCGAGCCCACGATTGAACACTTGGATACGCCTCTGTCACATTAGTTGTAGCCACCCTATTATAGCCCATGATTTGTAGCCACCCTAGTTGGTAATTATATTGTTGGCGCCACCAGTTGAACGGCTGGATCTTGACGGGCCCGACCCGTTAGGCCATAAACTAAAGGTCGGGAGGCCCAACTGTACTTTGTATAAAGACCCCTCTCCAAGAGGGGAAAAGACACGTTCCCTTTTACTATCAAACTCATATATTTTTTCTGACTCTTGCAACTAAGCATACTCGATTCTCGTTCGATACTCTTTTACCTAGTATCCTAGGTACTGGTATTTAAAACCTAAAAACAAGTTTATACTCCATTTGTCCCGGAGTATTCGTCCAGTTTTGACTTTTGGAACTATTCATCTAAGCACTTTGACTCATCAAATTCTCTCAATGTGTAAGCCTAAATATAGTCATGTGTGTGTTAGTTCCATATTGTGTTGGCATTATTTTTTGACAAACGAATAGATTTATCTAGAATTATTTTAGATATTTTATTTAGAATTAGAGTCCTAGCATGTGAAGGAAGAAGAAGAGGAAAGAGCTTGAAGAGAGAATTCTAGTCCTACTTGGATTCTAATTCTACTTGGTTTACAATTCATAAGGAGGAGACCATGGTTGAGAATCCTAAGCACACTCTAACATGGCTATTCTATTCTATTAATATCTTCACCCTCCCTCAGAGTTTTGGACGTGCAAAACTACGAAAAACCAGGAGCAAATTCGATCAAAAGAAAAACACAAGGTGCAGATTTTGAGACTGTAAATTCTCTGGACAGCCCGCACAGATTTGATCATCGCCAAAGATCCGACCGTTGGATTTTGCTGAAATTTTCAGAGGGTGTTCTCAACACATAGAGCTTCAACTTGTTAAAATTTCACGTCAATCGGAGTTACGGATCTTCTGTTATCAAAGTTACAATCTACACATTGTTACTGATTTTTTGCAGAAAACGCAGCCCTGGTTTTCTTGTTGGTTGGAGTACCAAATCTTGTCTGATCGTGTTGAAATTTTAGGATGAGTCTAAGGACTCGTGGAGCTTCAATCTGAACGGTGGAGATCGAATTTCAACGGTTCAATCTCGAGTTATGAGCTTCTGAACATCCTGCATATTTTTGTAGATCAAGAAGAATCTTTATTTGAAGGTCGATTGGAATCTACGTCCTTGAAGAAGATCTTTGAGAAGGTGTAACAAGCCATGGAGATAGACACAAAGCGAGTTTGTCGTCAAGTCATTCGTGAGTAGACAAATCAATACATTAGAAGGTTCTGTTGTGATTGATTGTGTAAATCTTACGGTGATTTAGTGGAAGGGCTATTACACGGACGTGGGCCTTGCAGACGTAGGAGTATTTGCTCCGAACTGCGTGAACAATTCTGGTGTCTTGCTTGCTGTTTTTACTTCATATTTTGCGTGTGTGCTTGTGACATAGAAGTCTTATAGCACACTGTCCGTCATCTGTTACTGGACAGTGCTGCAGCGTCTTCTCTACAACATAGTTGATTGTTTTGTTTGCATAGCTTGTGTTTGCTGTTATCCTCTGCACCCCCCACGAACTTACAATTGGTATCAGAGCTTGGCAAGCTTAAGTTATTAGCTTGATCGATCTATCACCATGGGAGATATTCAAGAAGGTGCTAATGTTTTTAGACCTCCATTATTATGCGGCCATGATTATACTTTTTGGAAGTGTCGAATGAGAGCCTTTCTCAAGTCTCTTGGTGGACAGGTTTGGAGAAGCATAGAGGTTGGATGGTCAGCTCCTACTATGACCAATGCAGATGGAGAACTAATTCAGAAACCTTATGAAAGATTAATCAAGAAAGAGAAGGATGCTGCAGAATCGAATGATCAGGCTTTGAATGCAATCTTCGGAGCGGTTGATAGAAATCAGTTCCGTCTTATCTCAAATTGCACAGAGGCCAAGAGAGCTTGGGAAATTTTGCTTATTACTCATGAAGGCACTACTACAGTCAAGACAGCCAAACTTCAGATCGTGATGTCTAAAATTGAAAATCTTAAGATGGAGGATACTAAGTCTATCACAAATTTTCATGGGCGAGTTAGAGAGTTGGGAAATGAGGCTGAAAGGCTTGGTGAACCAATCACAGAAAACAAACTGGTGTTGAAAGTGCTACGGTCTCTTCCAGAAAAATACTCTATGGATGTTAAAGCTATTAGACAAACACAATCTCTCAATGTTATGTCTCTTGATGAACTGATGGGAAACTTAGAAACCATTGAGTTGGAGATGCATGAAGATCTACAACGTAAAAAGCAGCATGTCATCCTCGTTGAAAAAGAGAAGCAGTGTGTTAAAGACAGTGCTGAAACATGCTGTGCTTTTCCAACTTTCCATAGTGTTGACGGTGACTTTGATAGTGACGTAGATCCAAGGGAGATGCTTATAATTGTTGAAGAAAAATTTCAAGAGTCTCTACGGGTCAACACGAAAAAATGTTTGGAAAATGATAGCCTCAAACGTGAACTTGCTGAATCAAAATGCGATGTGGAACAACTCATCAAAGAGTTACAGAGATACAAAGGTAAAGTTACAGCAGAGGATGACACAGAGGATGATACAGAGGATGATACAGAAGATGACACAGAGGTTGACACAGCAGAAGAGCTAGCTATTCTCCAAAGGAAGTGGGTAGAACTTGTTCAAGCCAACCAGAAAACTGTTCTGGAGAACCATCAGCTTGTTGCCGAGCGCAATAGACTAAAGGAGAGTATTTCAGAACTAGAAAAGAAGATTGAATACTTAGAAGGGCAACAATCAGATCTCAAGTATGAATTAAATCAACTCAAAAACTTTCACAAGTGGATGAGAAGTGCTGGAGCAAAAGCTATTGAGGAACAAGTGAATGTTTCAGAATTTTTTGGAGACAAGACGGGTCTCGGATTCTCAAGTTCCGAAAGAAATCAGACCCCACTGGACTTGTTTGTTGATCGAAGAAAGGAAATTGCTCAAAAAGTTCCACAAGGAAGGAAAACAGAAGCTGCTGCATCTGCTGGAACATCTTCTGCCAAACCCGCTGAAGCATCTCATGAAGCTTCTGCTGGAACAATTTATGCAGCACCCTATGCAAAAAGGCAAAGAGTTGTGACACAATCTAGTATGAGAAGACACAAGGATCATTATGCTAAACCTGAAAGGTATTCTTATACTAATGTCTATGCTAATTATGTTTGTTTTTGCTGTGGAAAAAGAGGACACATTCAAAGGAAATGCAAGATTTTTAAAGAGCAAAGATATAGGAAAAAGAATGTGACAACAAGGATGATTTGGGTACCTAAGAATCAGTACAAAACAGGTGATAATCCTTGTGTGAAGGATGTTGCTTCTGATCAATGCCATGTTAGTAGTGCAAGCTTGCATCAAGAAGAAAAGAAAACAAATCGTTGTGCTGTTAAGAGTGCTGAATCATCTCATAAGTGTGATGAAGTGACACGTCCTAGTCATGAGAGTGAGAAGTTTATGAATATAAAAAAACGAGCATTGGGCATGTGTAAAAGAGCATTTGATGGGAATCGGTTTGGTATACTCAGATCCCGCTTGGGTCTATGCACACCCATCTCTACCTGATTTAGAGGATGCTCTAAGAGGTGTTTCATCTCCAGCGTGGAATACCTTAGAGCATAGATGTTTTGCTGGTTGTATACATGTTTTTCTTGCAGATTGTTACTTTTTCAGATGCATCGTCCGAGGGGGAGTCGCTCAAGTGTGGCACAGGTGGATGTGACAAAGTCTAGGTCTATTTTAATATTCATTATTGTAATGCTCAAGCTCGCTTGAATGTTACTCTTCTCTTTTTGCCCCAATATTCTTAATAAAATCTTTGGCATTTTTTATGCAAAAAAGGGGGAGAAGAGGTTCAAAACAGCTGAGATTCGTTTTTGTCAAAAAAATTGTCAAAGGGGGAGATTGTTAGTTCCATATTGTGTTGGCATTATTTTTTGACAAACGAATAGATTTATCTTGAATTATTTTAGATATTTTATTTAGACTTAGAGTCCTAGCATGTGAAGGAAGAAGAAGAGGAAAGAGCTTGAAGAGAGAATTCTAGTCCTACTTGGATTCTAATTCTACTTGGTTTACAATTCATAAGGAGGAGACCATGGTTGAGAATCCTAAGCACACTCTAACATGGCTATTCTATTCTATTAATATCTTCACCCTCCCTCAGAGTTTTGGACGTGCAAAACTACGAAAAACCAGGAGCAAATTCGATCAAAAGAAAAACACAAGGTGCAGATTTTGAGACTGTAAATTCTCT